AAAAAATAAAATCTCAAATTGGACCATACTATATATAGCATAGAAAGGAAAGAAAAAAGAGCTTATAATTGGAGATGTGGTTTTTCCTTTCTGAGATCATTACTGGAGCCTGGGTTGCGCAGTGGTTAAGAGCTAAGGCTGCTAACCAGAAGGTCTCCAGGGACGACCTCAGGGGCGGAGCACTGCGGACGGGCTCAGACAAGCCTTCCTGCAGGGCTCCCCATGGCAGTGAGGCAAGCCTTTCCAGTATGTAGGCCCAGGATTATCCAGACAGATAGATCTCACCCTGCACTCTTACAGTGAGAGGAGTCTGGTCCAGCCGGCGGGGACTCGGGCACAGAACACCCGACACAGTAAAACTCTCGCCTCCGTATTTTACAAAACTGTCATGATATTTCAAGTAGAAGTAGATTTTGGAGCCCTGGTGGCACAGTGGTTAAGAGCTCAGCTGCTAACCAAGAGATCGGCAGTTCGAATCCACCAGCTCCTCCTTGGAAACCCTATGGGGCAGTTCTGCTCTGTCCGTAGGGTCTCTATAAGTTGGAATTGACTTGACGGCAATGGGATTTGGAAATCATTAGTACTTTTAAATACATCTATTTGTCCTTTACTGAAGAAAGGCAGAACATATCATCTTAATGTAAAACTGTTTATTAGGTAGCATACTGTGTGTGTGTGTGGGTCTCCATGTGTCAGTATTTTGAATGTTTGAAGCTTTTCTAGTTAAATAATGAGCTTCATGCTTTCTCTTTACCTTATCTTGCTTTATCTAGGGTAAGTTGTTGCTACTGAACTAGGTATTATGATTAAATGGGAGTATGTCAGGTAGTATAATGGGAAGTACAAAGAGATATGCTAAGCTTTTTTCCCTTAGTGTATCTCTAACATTGTGATTAATGGATTTTTCAATGAAACAGCAGGATCTTCTTTGCATATCATTTGAACTGAGGGCTTTCTTTGAAAAAGATAAGCCTGTTGTATTGCCCAGGTGAAAAAATGATGCTAATTTATCTTTGTCCGCCTAAACATAGCACTGTTGAAAGAAATAGTGAGAAATAACTGAGCCTTCTTATACGTCAGCACAGTGTTGCGTTTCTGTAATGATTCTAGGTGTTTTCTCTCATGCAGTTAGATTTGTTAGCATCACTGTTTTTGTGTTGAATTCAGCTTTGTTACCTATATCATGATTTGTTTTTAGGTGCCATCCAGTCATTTCCAACTCATAGTGACCTGTGTACAACAGAAGGAAACACTGCCCAGTCCTGCGCTATACTCACTATGTTTGAGCCCACTGTTGTAGCCACTGTGTCAGTCCATCTTGTTGAGGGTCTTCTTTCTTGCTGACCCTCTACGTTAGGAAGCGTGATGTCCTTCTCCAGGGACTGGTCCCTCCTGATAACATGTCCAGAGTACACGAGACAAAGTCTTGCCATCCTCCCTTCCAAGGAGCATTCTGGCTGTACTTCTTCTAAGACAGATTGTTTGTTCTTCTGACAGTCCCTGGTATATTCAGTATTTTTTGCCAACACCGTAATTCAAGTGTATCAATTCTTTGGTCTTCCTTATTCATTGTCCAGCTTTCGCGTGCATATGAGGCAATTGAAAACACCATGGCTTGGGTCAGGCGCACCTTAGTCTTCCAGGTGACATCTTTGCTTTTTTTTTTTTTTTTTTTAATATCACTTCAAAGAGGTCTTTTGCAGCAGATTTGCCCAGTGCAATGTGTCTTTTGATTTCTTGACTGCTGCTTCCATGGGTGTTGATTGTGGATCCAAGTAAAATGAAATCCTTGACAACTTCAGTCTTTTCCCAGTTTATCGTGATGTTGCTTATTGGGCCAGTTGTGAGGATTTTTGTTTTCTTTATATTGAGGTGTAATCCATACTGAAGGATGTGGTCTTTGACCTTCATCAGTAAGTGCTTCAAGTCTTCTTCTCTTTCAGCAAGGTTGTGTCATCTGCATATCACAGATTGGTAATGAGTCTTCCTCCAATCCCGATGCCATGTTCTTCTTCATGTAGTCCGGCTTCTCAGATTATTTGCTTAGTATACAGATTGAATAAGTATAGTGAAAGGACACAATCCTGATGCACATCTTTCCTGATTTTAAACCACTCTGTATCCCCTTGTGCTGTTCAAAGGACTACCTCTTGGTCTATGCACGGGTTCCTCATGAGCACAATTAAGTGTTCTGGAATTCTTATTCTTCGCAGTGTTACCCATAATTTGTTATAATCCACACAGTCGAATGCCTTTGCGTAGTCAGTAATACACAGATAAACGTCATTGCTGGTATTCTCTACTTTCAGCCACGATCCATCTGACATCGTCTAATATCCATTTGATATCCCTCTTTCCACGTCCTCTTCTGAATCGGCTTGAATTTCTGACAGTTCTGTTTCTGTGTACTGCTGCAACCACTTTTGAATTATCTTCAGCAAAATTGTGCTTGTGTGTAATATTAATTATATTGTTTGTTAATTTCCACATTCCGTTTGATCACCTTTCTTTGGAATGGGCACAAATATGGATCTCTTCTAGTTGGTTGGTCAGGTAGTTGTCTTCCAAATTTCTTGGCATAGACAGACAAGTGAGCATCTGTAGCACTGCATCTGTTTGTTTAAATGTTTCAATTGGAGGGCTAGGAGACACTGCAAAGAAGTGTTGAAGGTGGAGGAAATGGCTGTGCGTGCACAGATGAAAAGGCGTAGAATCTCTCAGTGACTGGGCATGGTCTCTGTACATACGTAAGATACGTGTATAAAATAGAAGATCACCCACTTGGTTTCACTTGAGAAGGTAATGTGGGACCAGATCATAGGTAGCTTTAGATACTGAATCATTTATTTATTTTTAGAGAATAAGAAAACTTGAATGGTTTTGAGACATGAGAATGTTAAGAAATACAAAGATGAAAACTGTGTTTTGGGCATTTGATCTGGCCCTTATGTATAGATTGATTGGCGGACAGGTACTATTAACAGAATCTTGCAGTAGTTTTGCTAGTAAATCAGTAATGACTGGAAAAAGGTCAACAAGAGTAAATGGAAAGGGTAGGGCCAAATCTGAGGTAAATGGAGTGGCCAAACATTTTTATGACCAGGGACGGTCCTGGTTTATGCCTGCTGTTGAAGCACAATTATTAATAGTACTTTTGAATGTTTCCTGGTTTGAACAGTAGATCACATGGTGACCCTAAAGATAGATTGCCATAATGTTGATATCCCATTGCTGTTGAGTCAGTTCCAACTCCTAGTGACCCTATAGGACAGAGTAGAACTGCCCCATTAGGGTCTTCAAGGCTGTAATCTTTACAGAAGCAGACTGCCACATCTTTCTCCCGTGAAGCAGTTGGTGGATTCGAATCAATGACCTTTTGGGTTGGCAGCCGAGCGCTTTAACCACTGTGCTGCCAGTGCTCTTACAGAATTGATAGCACTTGCTAATTATTAGATCAAAGAGGAGAAGGATGGTGGCATAAGAAGGCAGAAAATATATGCAGTTTTTTGAAATTCTTCTGATAATAATTTCACTGAATTTTCCTTTCTGGAGAATTAAATGTAAAATTCTCTTTCCTGAATACCACAATCAAATCTTGTAGGTTTAAAATCCCAGTTTTTTTAATTAAATGAACACATCTGAGTCTTGGAATATTTAGCAAAATGATAGTAAAGAGAATATGCTGTGTATTTAATCTTCTGTAAGATTTTCATTCATTCTGTCTAAAAGCAAGGCTTTTATTTAATTTTTTGTGAAAATACGCACAGCAGAACATCCACCTATTCAGTTTCTACACGCACAGTTCACTGTCATTGGTTAGTTTCTTCACATTGTATTACCATTCTCATTAGTCTCAACCCAGATGTTACACCACCATTGCCTTAGATTCAGTACCCCCTAAACTTCTCATCTATGCTTTAGAGTTAACTGTTGTCGATTTGATCTCATAAAGATAATTGTTTAATAAGAGTGCAGCGCTCAAGGTGAACATTATATACTAATTTAGCTAAGCTGTTGTTTAAAGATGACTTGAGAGGATAGTTTTGGTTTAAGATTTAAAGATTCATTCAGGGCAGTGTATTCGGGGGGTGCTCCAGCCTCAAAGGGTCTGCTAAGTCTGGATTCCATAAGAATTTGAGATTCTGTGCCTCATGTTCCTCCTTTTGATCAGAATTCAGCTGCTGAGTCCTAGAGTGTTCAGTAGTAGCAGCCTGGCACCCTTCAGTTCTCTGGTCTCATGGCAGTGGAGGCGTTAGTTCCTGGAGGCAGTTAGACCTGCAGACCACTTCCTTCTCCAGTTCCTGGGTCATTGTCTTACTCTGCTGCTCCAGGTGATGAGACCAATTGTATCTTGGATGACTGCCGGCAAACTTTTAAGACCAAGCCGAACAGAAGCTTCAAGAGTGATACTAAGCCAGTTGACTGGACAGCCCCCCAACCATGACCCAACCCTTCAAACTCAGAGAGCTAATCCCGTGAGGTGTTTGATTGCACCTGAGTGATGTCAGCAACTGCGGCCTTTTTTCTTGTTGTTGTTGCTGTTACTGGTATTAAATTACATATAAAACATTCGCCATTTTGCCCTTTTTCTGGTGTACAACTTCATGGTAATCAGTTACATCAGTCAGATTATGTAGCCACTACCCTTAAATGGTGCCAATTTTCTCATCACTCAGACCCAAACTCACTACTTTTCCTGGAAATTGCAAGCGAGGCTTTTTTCGAGAATTGTGATGAATTGGTATAGCTTACCTGAAATGTTTTCAAATGGAAACGCAGCTAGTTGAGACCGTCTTGTGTGTCAGCGTTCTGTGAGTGTGACATCGCTGATACGATGAGCTTCAGTGGGCCACACCTCTCTTGTTCCTTGGGGCTTTTCCCCTGATGGAAACAGGTGACTGTAGTCAGGCAGTATCTATTCTAAGACTGTGCATAGATACACCTGTGATGTATATGGACTGTCTCCAAATACTGACCGTTCTTCTGTTTTCTGTGTGTAGGCAGAAGGAGAAGACAGCCTTAAGAAGATGCAGCTGATGGAACTCGCGATTCTGAATGGCACTTACCGAGATGCCAACATTAAATCACGTAAGAACAAGACCGAGGCCCCGTGCGGCTGGTGGCCCGGCTCTTTATCTACAGACCTTTCCTTTTGGCAGCACCAGCTCACGAACAGTTAAACTGACACGAAGACTCTGAAGTGATTGTGCCCCTTGATAACTGAGCACCACTGTCAGTTTTATTATATGCTAGCATGTCGAAGTTTGGGGTTTGTAACGTATTCTTTTGATGAAGTTTCAACCTCTAAATTCAAGAGTTTCTGGAAATTTCATATTCTGTTACCTACTGAAGATTTAAGACTTCCAGCTTATTTTGTTACATTTATACAAAAGATGGAAAATTATGAAAGCTTTTCTTTAAAAGAAAAAAAAGCTAATTTGGAATGTACAGTCAGACTCATGAAATTGTCCTTTTTTTGGATTCTGTCCTTTTCACCTTGCTTGCATGTTTTCCCTGCAGTATTATTTCCCTATTGATTTCATACATGAGTTCACAGAGATTACAGATTCCTGTTTTTACGTAGTTGAGTATGCTTTCAGAAGCTATAAGAGCATTTTTTATATTTAAAATAGAATAATATGAAATTTATATTTTGAGACAATGTAAACTGTAATGTGTCATTTATATAAACATATTGTTGTTATATTAAAGTTACTCATTTTTTAAAGAAATAGAATTTTAAAGCCCCAGACAACTTTCTAAAGTGAAGGCAACCTAATGGGTTTAGGAGTGGTTACTTTACAAATGATTGATGTTAGTTTACTCATGAGAATTGAGCATATCATTAAAAAAGTCATGTATTTAAGAGGGGAGCATTTTTGGCTTTTTGTTTTCTTTGAAGAAGTTAATTCATAAATATGCAGAAAATTGGCATATACTTAGTGATTACTTGACTAAATACAATGAAAATTTTTCTTTCTTTAATTTGAAACTGAGGCTTCTCTTTAGAATTAGACCAGAACTGTGTTTCTGTGGACTCCGATTACAAATTATTTTTTAACGACTTTTGGTAAAAGTGTTTTCTTGCTTCTGCATGCACCTTAGTCTCATGAAATCTTAAAAACATAGATATATACAATATGTGAACTAAATACAACCTATTTTAATGATCTTGTTCATTTTTTTTCCAATGGCTTTTTAATTTTTGCACACTTGTTCTTTAGTCACGTTGGGAAAGGGAAAGCCTTTTGTGTTTGATTGGTGTGCTTTGGCGTTTTGTGTGATCAGCGCATGTACTAATGGTTTCCTTTTATTTTTCTTCCTTCCTGCTTTTCCCTTTCTTTTTCCTACTGCCCTCCCATTTTCCCATGTTACACTGCTGTCTCTGTACTTCCTTCTCAATTTCTTTGCTTACTGTAGCAGCCCTTGCATTTTCTCTTGCAGCAACAGCCCAGGCTGCTCCAAGGATTATTACTGGGCCTGCGCCTGTCCTCCCACCAGCTGCCCTGCGTACCCCGACGCCAGCTGGCCCTACCATAATGCCTTTGATCAGACAAATACAGACCGCTGTCATGCCAAACGGAACTCCTCATCCAGCTGCTGCAATAGTCCCTCCAGGACCCGAAGCTGGTTTAATTTACACGCCCTACGAATACCCCTACACGCTGGCACCAGCTACGTCGATTCTTGAGTATCCTATTGAGCCTAGTGGTGTGTTAGGTAAGTCACCGTCCCTGCGTGGTTAACGGACATGCCTGCATAGTGTTTGCTGCCCCAGACATTGACATGATCGTATCAGTAGTAAAGAGGCAAGACAGATTTCTGTGAGGAAAGACTGACAACCAGATTTTGTTCTATCTCAAACTCTCAGAGAGTTGCCCTTTTTAATAATTGCACCTTAAATTTGTTCAGATTCACTTTGTTTATGTCTTGGTAAATTTTCACATTCGACGTTACTAAGGTCATTCTGAGTTTTAGGTCTTCCCCACCTCCCCATGCCCCATCACCAAAAAACAAACCAGTCTCACTGCCACTTGAGTCGATTCTGACTCACAGCCACCCTGTAAGACAGTAGAACTGCCCCATAGGATTTCCAAAGCTGTAACCTTAACAGAAGCAGACTGTACATCTTTCTCCCGAGGAGCCGCTGGCGGTTCAAACTGCTGACCTTTCTGTTGGCAGCTGAGCGCTTTAACCACTGCACCACTGGGGCTCCTTTCCCCATCACCACCACCACCCAACTTTAGATTTCTTTGTTTCTGAGATTTATTTAATTGCTGACTAAATTTTAAATTTCTACGTAAAAGCATTTTGAAGTCTTTATAAAATTGCAGTTACTGTGTATGTTTCTTCAGTTTTTCTCTCCTGAAACTCTAGTTAGTTAATGCCAGTCTTAGGGGGCACTCGGCCTGTCAGTAGTACAGTCAGCGATGGGTGAGTGGACCCAGGACGCTGGATGCAGAGTCACACTTTGGCAAAAATTAAGGTCATACTATGAACGCTTAGTTAAAAATTGCAGTACATAAACAAAAAGTGGTGTGCTCGAAGACGTTACTAATGCCTTTTTTTTATAGAGTGGATTGAAATGCCAGTCATGCCTGATATTTCAGCCCATTGACTTGCGGGATGAAGGACTAGAATACAGCAGCCGTTATAACACGACCAGTCAATGTGGAGCACACTGTTCACTGCATCCCCTTTGTCTCACCAGACAGAATCGGAATCATTTTTTCCGAATTGTATATGACCTTGGTGCTGCATGCATGCTGTTTACTTTTAGGACTTTGATCTTTTTTTTTTTTTTTTTTTCCTCCCCAGCATTAATACTGATTTATAAAGCTTTGAAAGTCTTTAATGAACCTGGACACTAAGAGATAAAGTCAAAAATCCATTGTTCAATTAAATAAAGCCACGATGCTCTGTATGTTATCTGTGTGTGTGCATGCACTCAGGTGCCTTTTGTTTTATGAACAAACACATTTTATTGTACATGTTTTCCGTTCACCACTAAATCATTGTATAAAGTGATTGCAGGTCAGAGTTATACCACAGAACTGTCTAGGAGAGGCTTGTTTCTGTTGCACATTCTTGAAGCATTTTTTTTTTAATAACATGTAACCTATAACCTTTATAAGCGTTTCCTTCCTATTAATACTCTGTCCTGTGACCCCTGCATGCTTCTTACCCCCAGAACTCCTCCCTGCTGCACCCACAGCGTCTGTCGCCCTGCGGGGTGTGGCCTGCGGGGTGTGGCCGTGCGGATCCCCCTGGTCTGTGACCGTGAGTCCCAGTGAGCAGGGGCGCAGGGCCCTTTACTGCCTAGAGACAGCAGCGGGCACTGCAGCACAGGTTCCCAGTTTAAAGCCATGTGTTTTTGTTTTGTTGGGAAATTTTTTTATAGAAGCTTAATTATTAGACTGACAAAATTAAAAGCCAAATGTGCAGATACCCATAAGGTGAATAATGAGTACTAAGTGAAAAAAAAAAAATGATTATATGATTTAAATTCTCACTTTGCCACCTAAGCAGTAAAATGTGACATTGACCGCTTGGAGAACTGAGAAAATGATTTTAAACTGCTAAGTTATAATAAATTGCACACAGATAACATGCATGCTCTATATCAATTCTCACTTTAAATTATATTAAAATAAGCAGTGCCCTTCAAAACAGCTGCAGACATGCGTGTCGGTGGTAGTGAGGAGATTGGTGTTAGCATCAAGTCTTCACTGATGACTAATGTTTAATTCCCTTCCTTTTATCTTTAGGTATGGCTTTCCCAACGAAAGGCTAAGAATTCAAGAACGGTCTTAACTGAACCCTCATCAGATCTGAATTTAACAAATGCTTAGTCTCAGCAGCCTCCGGGGGAAAAAAAAAAAGCTTAGCCTAGCAGTCAGTGACTTACTTGCACTTTTTGCACATAGATATAAAGTGAAATTATGTGATTAATTTGGTTTAGTCTGTAATATGACAAAGTAACTGTAATTTATAAAGGAGTGTATAGTAGTATACTGACTGCTAAGTGTACTATACTGTTTGCTTTACTAATCACCTAATTCATTGCAGTTCATACTTATTGACGCAAAGTTTAAAACCACAATCTGTAGGCTCTAAGAATCGCTTTTAAACCTTTGTAAGTGATGAACTCTGGAAGTGGGCTTAAGGTTAGCAAATAATTGTCAGTATTAAACATGGCATTATTTAAGTAGGCCTGCTGCAAGAAAGGCACTTCAGTGAATATGTGACTAGTAAAGCTTAAATGGATCTACTAGAGGTCATGACATACTGTAACTTGGGATTGTAAATGAGCAGACGAACTAGGTTAAGGCCAAGATGTTTGAGATGAATGCAATATTAGTAGATGCATTTATACGCCACATATTATGGTTAATTCTAAAACTACTGTGCCTTAACGTGTTTCTTAAAACAAACTTTTGTAGTAAATGAACATTTGAAATCCATTTTGGTAAACCTGCTGTTAATGTTTCTTGTTTTGTTTCTTCCCTTGTGACTGTTTCTAACTTTGTCTTGGTGATTGCGGTCTAACTAGGTGCGGTGGCTGCTAAAGTTCGGAGGCACGATATGCGCGTCCATCCTTACCAAAGGGTTGTGACCGCAGACCGAGGTCAGTTTAGTTCTGCAGTTCTTGTCTGTGAGAAATGCGCTGGGTGTCCGTAAAATTCGCAGCACCACACCTGATGGAAACATGTCAGAGCTGCTTACCTGCACACCGTTTCTTTTCTGTTTCTAAATTCATGTGTTACGATTGAGAGATTTAAGGGTTGGGTTTTGGTTTTCAGTTTTGTTTTTGTTTTGCTCCCTTCATATTTTAACTTATTAAATTCTGTGTTAGTATGTACTGTGATTTATTCCTACTAAAACATAAATTAGTCAGTTTGGGGAGCTCTTAAAATTTGATGTTGCCCTAATTTTGCTAAAATTTACCTTTTAATTGTTCTAAAATTTTCGGTTGGTATTGCAAAACAAATTGAACGGATGGTGCTTTAATGAGAGAAGTAGAGGAATATATGCCTCCTGTGTACTTCTGGAGAAAACTGAAGATTTGGTTTCCATTTTCCTTTTTAATAAAGTCCTTAAGCCACTGTATATGCATGAGGATGTACATGTCAAGTACTCAGCTGAAATCAACAAAGTAAGGAGTGTGAAGATAACTTTGATTAGTTGGATTTTTTTTTTATAAATCAGAAAATCAGTTCCCTTACATTCTTACATTTATCTTGCCAAAACGGATCCTTTGATTTTTGTCATTTGCTGCTAAACTATATTATTTGAAGGTAAAATATCTCTTGAAGTTCTGTGGTGGTATGAGATCCAGCTGTTTGTATATCTTTTTGGACTAACCTGTGACTGGAAAATAAGTCTTCATTTTTCTCCTTTTTACCATTTAGAATTTGTGTCCTATATATACCCTTGGACTCTTGTATAAATTATTAAGTTTTTTGAGGAGTGATATTTTCGGTTTATTGACATTGAATTGCTTTCTAAGTTTTTTCATCACAAGATGGGAATCCCAAGCGAGGTAGAAAAGAATTTTTATAAGCTTCTAGGATACAGCACGTTTCACTCATTACATTGATCAAAGTCTCATATTAGTAGGAAACAAGTGATAGGGTTTACCCTCCAATCATATCACCTTCTCTGAACTTGGCAAGACTTGCCTGCTTCACAGTATATAACCTTAAACACTGGTGATAATAATGTTGGACACAGCTGTTGTCCATATCAGAAATAAAATACCTTTCCAAAGGTAGTTGATGATACTTACCTATCATGCATCATACATAATTAAAGAGCCTTGAAGACTTTCAACTAATGTATACCTTACTTGTAGTGGTTATTCAAAGAACAAAGTAAACCTCAAGCTCAGTGATCATCTATGAAGATATAATACTCCTTTTAAGTGTGTTGTATACAAATCTATACACCATCCTTCCAGCAGCGGAGCAAGTCCCCTAGGGAAGAGAGAAATTTTTTAAAAAGTCACTTTAGGCTTAAACTGGATAATTTCATGAATAATTTGAAGCTTTATTCATATTGCTAATGTCTAAAATAGTTCTAAAGAGTATTTTACAGTGATTTTTATTCCATTAACCTTTCCCTGTCCTCCCCCTGCCCCCGACCCTTTTAGGGGATTTCTCATAATTTTATCTTTATACAATAATTAACTGCCCTACTCAGTACCCCTGTGCCTTGAAAGGATTGAGAATATTGGAGGAAGATTTTATTGTATTTGGAAAATGACAACACATTCCATGCTTGGCTCTTTTGTATTTATATGTTCTGATTAGTCCTGTCACTGTTTTTATTCAAAAAGCAATGTCAGCAAACCGAAATGGTGATTTTTTTTTTTTTTTTTTTAAAATAACAGAATACTTGTACTGCTGTTGGTCTCACTATATGTACCCATTGGGTCTAAGGGAGATGTCTGAAGTCCTTAAGTTATTTTATTATGATACTACTGTGTTCTCTATTTTGAGGGGTTTTTTTTGTTTTGTTTTGTTTTGTTTCATTTTTAATCTTTTGAAGAAAACATTAATATAAACATTCATTTACTGCAAGGAAACTCAGACCTTGAACATATAACCATGTGATTTTACATGAGCATTTAGAGTATGGCGCATGGTTGACACATAGCTACTTCTTTACTAAAAATGAACGCACCTCTCCACGTATTTCAAAACTGAATTTGAAGCTTGTAAATGACCAACTGACTTTTTAGCTGTAATGAACTACACATGATTTTGCACGGTTGACACACGTGTGTGTACTGTAGGAGGCCAGGACTTGGCAGAGGATGTGTTTTAAGTGTTACGGGATATATAAATGGTAATTTGCATTGTTTATATATTCCACACACACAAAATCAGAGTTTTCCTGAATAATGACTTTACAAAACCTATCACTGACATAATTTGTATAAGAAATGTAATACCATTCTAATCAAAATTTTAAGTAATGTTAAAAATGCTTTAAGGTTCTGTATTTCTGGAGTACCTGTGAAGTGACATGGTTATACCATGTTAAATATTTATTTGCTTTTTTGATTTTGGAACAGCAGTTTTTATTTTCAATAAAATTCCACTGATTTTTAAGAAATTCAGGGAAGATTTGGTTACATTGAAGATGCCGTATTTTTGTAGTATTTATAAAATATCCTAAATGGTAGACTATAGAAAGCTGTTTTACTCTGTGAAGGTAAATCAGTCCATTGTAGAGATCTTTTGAACTCTGTGAACATGACCCCTACTGGGCTTTGCTGTGTGAAGCGGCACAGAATCTCACTTTGCACTGAGCATCTTTTCATTCACATCTCCTCTGCCTTAGTCACAGTGGCCACAGTACAAGAAATTGATCAAACCTCAGAATATAGTAGAAATAATTAAGCTGTTGAATGAGTCTTACAAATCTTACTACTGTTAAGTGGACCAAGTTTGGTGGAGCAGAATGTGGTAGAGGCTGATGAAGGAAGGAACAACACAGAGACTTTGGGAATGGTGACGTTTCCACTTGAGAACTACTTTATGTTTTACTGTAATTTTTTAATTTTATTTTATTTTTTGTTCTGTTTGTTATTTTGCAAAAGAAAATAGTATTTACAGGTGGCTTCTTTTAAAATATAAAAATTATAAAGCAGGAATGTATATGAAGTGTCAGATTTTATTGTATTTGCAGAGTATTAGCTTTGAAATTGAATAAAGAAAGCTGTTTGTAGTTTCAAAATGCCTTATTGGTATCAATTAGAAATTTCTTCTATTTTTTGATGTACTTAGAGCTTTTTGAGTATAGAATTTTAAATGGCAGGATTTTACAGTGTTTACATGCAAGTGCATTTTATAAGTGTTCTATATGTGTAAAATAGTATTTCAACTGGAGAGTGTTGGCTAGAGCAGAAGGCCTGGCCTTTTTCTGGTTCCCATGATGTTGCTACACTGCTAGACTACAGTTTAGTACTGCTCTGTATCATGAGGCCAAGAAATTCCATGTCGTTTGTAAATAGAAGAATTGAAAAAGCAATAAACGTTTATTGAATAAAAGAAACCTTGTTCGGCCCAGAGTCTATGTTGAACCAAAGTGCTGGTAGAAAGTTAAATTTCTTTAGACTCGTGTCTGTTAATCATCAGTTATTAATAATCACACCATCATTAATAGTTGCTTCAGTGCTTGCATCGGAGGGGATACTAATGCTTAATAGCAGTCAGACACCGATAACCGCGCTGACTGTTTCGGGGTCTGTACCCCAGACCTACTCATCATTGTTGTTTCCAGTTTTCTTCCATTGACTGCTACTAACTATTAGTTGTTAGTTGTATTTTATTTCTATTTTTCTTGTTAACCAGTTTTTTTTTTGTTGTTGTTGTTGTTTTTTAATTTTTGGCGGGGAGTGGGCTCTCCTTCATTTGTTCAAATCATGATATGAAGTTGTCATGATTTTCATTGTATTCTGTAGATGGTGTCAAATCAGTTTGTCAGAATTAAACATGCTTTTTTTTTATTAGTTGTGATTAGTTTTTCATGTTGTCATTAAGCCGTCACTAGCTGGAACTAATCTCTTCTCTATCTTTTCTTTCTTTTTTTGTTTTGTTTTTTGTTTCTAACCACCCAGCCGCCACCGGCAACTAACCTATGACCTTCTGACCTCTGAACTCTTCACCCAATGATGACCTGACCATGCCTGCCTGCTGATCAGTTAACTGGTAATCGCCTTTGCTTGCCTGTCGTCAGTGCAGCGAGCTGAGGCACTTGTCCGTTCGTCTCACCATCTAACCAAACAAAAGACAAAGAAATTATTGTCCTCCAACTCAGCTTTTTTTTTTTTTTCCGGTTTGGGTGAAAGTGGTTCTAGAACCTGCACTGAATAGTAGTAAAGCAATAAGGCCCAATTCATCCCACAGCACTGATCATCTTCCATGCCCCACCCTAAGCGAACGGTAAGAGGCCTCACTTAGAGGGGAGACAGATGGTCTGTCTTTAACTGCTCAGTGACAGAGGCAGTTACTGTGAGAGGAACCTTCCTTCTCGTAGTGGAGTCCCAGCTCTCTCTGAATGTACTGTGTGGTGATGCATCATGCATGCGCCTTGGGTCAGGGACGTCATTGGTGAAGTGATCTCAAAAGTATTCAAAATTTGATACGCTCTTAGTCACTACAGTGCCCTCAGAGGGCAGACGTTGCAGCCTTTTTTATATTGCCTGCCAAAATTGGAAGTAGTAGAAGAAAGTGTGCTGTGAGAGAACATTTCACGAGGAATTTTAAAAAGTAATGCAAAGAACAGAACTGCAACACTATTTAAAAAAAAGAAAGAAAAAAAGTAAATATCTGAGTTACAATTACTGAACCTTTCTTCTACACCTCCTTTAAAAAAAGTATGAGAACAAGGTACATGCATAATGTGTCACATTACTGGGCAAACTGTTGAACTATTTTTTTGAAACCTCCCTGTATAGAAAAACTCACTAAGGACGTAAAAGCCATGCTTGCCTCTTCGCTGTACATGTAATGAAGTTGTAGATACAGTGTAGTGCATTGAAACAATGAACAAAAACGTAGACACTTTTACTATACAAGGGTGCTGGTGCAGAAAAAAATATATATATATTTTTGGAAATGTAGCATTTTATACTTTCAAGTGTTATAAAAAAAAAAAAGAACAAAGAAACCCTTTATTTCATTAAATGATTTTTTCTGGTGGTTGTCAAGAAACAAAAGACCAAAAGAGCCTTTTTGTCTTTCTTTTTTATTTTTTAAGTATTGGAATAAGTCTAAAGAAAAGAAAGTGCCTTATTTTCCTTCATGGTCATTCAGTCAAGTGTCTGGTGAGAGCAGCTCCTCCCTGGGACACCAGTCAGTGCATGCCGCTCAGCCGTCCAGAGCGCAAGGAGAAGGTGTGAGGGAGGCCCGAGTCGCCGGGTGAATGGGACGGTGTGGGCCACGCTACCTTGATGCACATTTGCCAAATCTGATACTGTGAAAAAATCATAACTTTTCTCATGCCTGACTAGTAAGTTTTAAAACATGATTCTCGTGAAATCATAATTGAGTGTTTTTGGTTATTACAGTTCTCAGTGTAAGCCCAAAGGATGTTGAGATAAAAATTATGTGTGGTTTTTTTTTTTAACTGAACATCAGTTTACTGATAAAATTAGAGCTTTATTTGGAGAAGAGGACTATATTGGATTTTTTTCTTATTAATTGGAGATAATAGTATACTGTGGCCAACCTCTTCACAAAAATGAATCTTGGTGATCATCATTCTGAAAAGGAGTGTTTCTAAATGACCCAAATTTAATCAGACTTCTTTCTACCATACCAGATAACTGGCATAGTCCATCTCTTTGCTGGTTTTAGTCAACACACACACCCTTTTCTTTCTTTCTTGTTTTCTTTTTTAACTTAAGAGGATGTGAAATACTGGCATCATTTTACATATAAAGGATCAACTACATTTCAGTTTATGCTTCCATTTTCTCATGAAGTTGAAACGTGGGTTTTGTAGTTGAAGCCGTTTATTATGCGTAACACCTACACCTAAATACTTGATGATCAGTAACCGCTCAGTACCAGACATGGCAAATCTCAAGTGACGGTGGAGTCCCAACTCACCGACTCGGTCCCTCTTCCATACCTTCGCAGCTTCAAGGTCAAAGGTCGGCAGTCAGCTCAGTGAGCACTTCCATGCGTGGTGACCTCAGCCATCTTGTCTCACTCGGAAACCGTTTTCAGTTTATTTACTATGCAATAGACATTCGTGGTGTTCTACTCAGCTAGCTTTGGTTTAGTGTGCCACTGCTTCGTCTTCCTGTTAACACACACAGTTGTTTTGATTTATTGACAATATATGCTGTGCCATTTTGATTTTTGTTTGGTTGGTTGAATAAATCTGCGACACTCAAACCCTTGAGGTGATAGTTGTTAAAAACAATATACCAGTATTTGATCCAGTTTCATCTCAACTGTGTTATACCTGGATATTTTAGATGTGTATCAAAGGTCTTTTATTGGGAAGAAAGTAAATGTATGAAATAAATGTGTGACATTTATGAGTAATGTTGGCTCTGAACAAACTTTTGAAAACTTAGTTGACAAACTTTTGGATCAACTGAAAAAAAAAAAAGCATGACTTTTGAATGCCTTGGTTCTCAGTATTATCATTCTTTATTGAATTTATTTCTTATTACAATATGTAGTTTTTAAGACTTTTTTTTTTCTGACAGTATTATGTAATTTTTTTAGAGTGGGTAGGTGGGAGTGTCGCTTGTATGTTACCGTACAGCTGACATGTATTTTGTCTGTTCTTTATTATCTTAGTAGTTTCATGCTATGTATGTACCATAACCAACCTATTGCCTATGAGAAACATGTAAGATAATGTATTTACAGCCATTGTTACAAGTTTATAATGTATTTTTCTATCTTGTTTTATATGTATGTTATATAACATTCAAAAAAATTTTTTTCTTGATTGAGAAAAGGATACAAAATGCAAAATCCACAATTTTGATAACTGAAAATTGCCAATTGTTTTGCAGTACTTTATATTATATTGGGTGTCTTGTCTTTTCCTGGGCTTTTAGTTAGCTAATGAATGAATACATTAGACACTTCTGGGTTTTAGTTGGGATTTTACATAGCTTGCATTTTAATTCTTTGGTTCTTTGCTGTTTCTATTAACCCATAGCATTATTTTAATAAATGTTACAATACCAACCTACTAACTCTGGACTATGTCTGTTTATTAACCTTTACATGTTTAATTAAAATAAACAAATAAAGACAAAAGAATGTAAAGTCTTGAGTTCCTGGACTAACCCTGAGGAGCGTGACCACGGATAACCTAGCGTGACTTGTCTGTGTTGTTCGTCAGCTGACCGTTCCGCACACTACTGTTAAAATGGCTTCGGATGTTCTGCCCTTTTACCTTGAGGGTAGGTACCAGTAGGGACGGGAGCAGCGGAGCATTTGTTCGAGGAACCCTCCTAGGCTTGCACTTGCCTTTCAGCGTCTGCATTACTAATTCCACACTTTCCTATTTTTTTCTTCTCCAAAATAATCACTGTCTGCTCACAATAAAAACAGTAAAGAGACTCAACTGTCATGACATACCCGGAAAACCAGTTTGATTCTTTGTTGAACCATGTAACTTCCACGAACAGGTATAATCTTGTGGTTGCCTTACGAAGCCAAGAACCTGATTTTATCAGTGTTCGGAGTTCTGTTTTAATTTGACATTTTTCTTCTGTAAAGTGTTGGACTTTTTTAGCCAGCTGCTCCTGTCAGGGGAGTGTGACAGAGGTCAAGTCGAGTCAGACTGGCTCCGTTTCTCGTGATGGTTCACGGCAAGGGCTTGGTCACAGTGGCGCGGCCAGTCCGCCTCTGCTCCTAAAGCCTCACCAAGAGAGCAGACAGCACCACTGGGTTTCCTTCCAGTGCTTTTTCTCTCACTTCCGAAGGAAGCACAGTCCGGATAGAGCGTGAGTGCAGGAAATGGAGGTGGTGGAGACACAGGGCTCTTGTGGTTCTGTATGGTTGATTTCCTGCATGCACTTCAGTTTTGAGATGATTTCTTAAATACCTTCATGCTTTACTTGGCTGCAACCTGGGTGAATTGACCTATATTTATGAATTCTTTAGCTTATCTCTTGAGGTACATTTTTATTTCACAGATACTCTAACTTTTCTGTGAAACAGTTAACCTGATAATAAATGTTCTCAGGATGAATCTTTGCATTTGTAAATAATGGTTTATTGTTGTAAATCACATTCTATTTATTCTAAAGTTCTGGGCGGAGGGGCTGAAGTAAGTCACATGTTACAGAAGATACGACTACCACCGTACTCCTTCCTGACACACCAGACTGTCAGGGTGTTCCTCGGTTCATACATGTTTATGCGTATATGAAATAGAGACAGTAGTGGTGACAGCTGGTGTCCTCACGATTAAGACGGCCATTTCTTTGATGGGGAGCAGTGTATAGTTAGGCAGACAGGGCGTTAGTCTGCTACTGCCTGTCAGAGTTCCCGCTGCCGTGCCAGTGCAGGTATTACTCTGAAAATCGGACCATGTCTGTCAAGCTACTGGTAGAGCAGCCGCCATGGTGCCGCGTCACTTAAATGGGTGAAGAGTCTCCGTGCGGTTCCTTCGTGTTCCGTGAAGCCTGTACATGCAGCCTCATCTCATTTTCAGTTAATGGTACTTCGTGTATAATTATGTCATATTGTTACCTTTCATGTTGGAAACGTAAAAGACAGTTTTTTAAAAGGTGAAAATAACAAATCTCATTTTTACAGGGTATAGTAGTAGTAAAGTTGAAACTACCAAATTCTTATAAAATGCGAGAATCCATTTTTTGCTTTATACTGTTACTTGACTGAAAAATTGAAAGTCAAGTTTTCAGCTAGAAAGTTGGTGAAATTAGTGTACTTAGTAGCTAAATTTTTTTCTCCCTCAGGCAGAATGTCAGGAAAACTGTAGGGTGAAAGTAGGTATTCACGTGAAATTTGGAAGCATAGCTCCAAACACGGTGGAGTCCACTCTAGTAGGTCCCTTAAGCATCCGGTCCGGGATGTGTGGATATATACAAGGAATACGTACTCGGGTAAAGTCACTAAATACTAAATGAATCTAGAGGATCGGGATGATTTTGTTTTCTAGAGCACCAAGAGCTAGGTTTCCGTGAAGTGGCTCATTACCGAATCACACATCTTTTGAACAGCACAGTCTAAGCTTTTAGATGAGAACAGTCTAACGTTTCTCCAGATTTGGGGGATTTCTTTGTTTGGCTGCGATGGGTGTGTCTCTTTATCTCTGATAACAATTAGCTGTCATAGCCTTTCCAACAAGTAATTTTTGGTGGAATGGAACAAATTGCCCAATAACCATTCACTGGTTAGCAGAAATTAGTCGCAAAACTTTTGGAACCACAAATTTTCTAAGAAGTACAAGAAGTAATTTTTTCACACTGTCGTAGATTATTTAAAATGGAAAAATAATGTTACTGATTTATGGACAATAATATAAATGCCTTTTGGAAATACAGGGTACACATTTGTCATTTTATCTGTGGTTTCTTTAAATATATCTAAATTGAAACAATTTTTTTATTAAGAGACGTAACAAAATTCTATACGTGCCTGGTTTTCAATGCTGAATCAAACTGGTTGCCCTCAGTACAGTACTCTCATTTCTGTGTTTCTGCTGCACTACTAATTGCCCAGGAAGGGGAGGGGGTCACAGTAGAGGTGGGTGGTAGGTGCAGCAGGTAGCTACACACACGAGTGACTTCGCCTTGCCTGCAAGTGGGTTGTCGCTTCTTGGCAGAGCTCACTACTCTGGGAAAGAAAGCTCAGCTCCCAGAGCAAAAATTTGTATCTTTTTAAAAATGCTATCCTTAAGTAGTTTCAATTGCCAAATACATCTTTTATGGTTTATATTGTAGTAGTGTGTATAAAACATTGAAGATTTTGTTTGTGGAAATTGTGAATATTTATACAGAAGTTGGAATAGGTATTCCCAGGTCACGTGTGAACGGAGACCCACCTCTGACTACGTGGAGTGCAATAAGCCAACTGGAAAAAGTGCATGTGCTTTCTCAGCCCGCTGCAGCCGAGGCGCTGTTCATCCCCTCCCCCCGGGAAAATATATGTATACATATCAGAATAAAGAATGCACATTTTCATTTTTAATTTTCTCTGATGCTTTTAACACTGTTGAAGAGAAACTGAGAATTGGGCATTCTGGAGTTCTAGCATCACTAGCTAAGAGAGGATCGTTTATTTGCTCTGATTTCAGTGCTGTATCGGTAAGCAGACTTCTGCAGGGTTCCTTCCAATGCGGGTGATTATTTTTGATCTGTAAGAAACTCGGGCACGAGCTTTATGTAGGTATTTAGGTATAAGAACGAAGAAAGGAGCACTGATCAGGTCTTGCTCTCATCAGCTGTGTGCCAAGGACTAGCAGTGTTAATCTTAAGCACAGTAGAAGAATTGGTTTTAAGTTTTCAGTCTTTCTCTGTGGTTTCAGCTTGATGTCTTCAGTGTTAGACTCCTTTCAGGAACTCAAACATTGCCTGTTCGCTTACTCCTTCGTGTTCTCTCCCAGGCCCTTTTTCTTTCTGAACACTCCAGAAGCTGCTTTGTCCGTGGCAGAATCTTTTTCACACTTCTTAAAAGCAGCCCACAGGACCAAGGACCCATATCAGAAGTCGCAAACCAGCAACTCACAGATGTGTTAGGTTTCGCCTCCCCAGGGTGGTTTGGTTTGGTTTTTGTTTGCATTGCTTGCCAACATTCAAAGTCTAAAGATGAGACATTTAAAAAAAATTCACTCTGTGCTGCTTCAAAATATCTAGAAATACGGAGCCTGCGTTCTCACATGGTAACCAGCAGCTGAAACTGAGTAACTGCCCCCTTTAAAACGGTGAAGCACCGTTCCGTAAAATCACGTTTTCCCTTCCTGCAGTGTACGCATGCCATTGTGGAAGTGCTTATTTGTACGTGCTATACAGCATTTCCGTTTCTAGAGAGAATCTCTTAAAATCAGGATGAGAATGTAACTACCCTGGGCCTAGTCTTCTTAATACATGCTCTGTCGTAGGCACTGGTTACTTAATAGTAATGAAAGTTGTTAGGGGACACATGAGTACAAGTTCAATGACAAGAAAATACGTGTTTGTAAAGGAATCCACAGATAACATTTCTTGCAAAAAAAAGTTGAAAACTAAAATGAATTATTAGTAAATGATGTTTTTTTGCCCATTGTTCCTCACTGAGGTAAAAGAGCCTTGAAAATTTAACAGTTTAAGCAGCTAGATTTTTCTGGGGGGGGAATATGTGACAAGGGACTTGGTGGAGCACTGGGCACGGGAAAATACAAGACGCGAAGCTCCAAGTCGGTGCCTCAGGAGAGAAAACTAGGTTAGCACAGCAAACAAATGTCCTACCCGAAACTGTTGTCATTCAGGCATCAGTTTTTGGGCGACTAGGAAATTTAATACATCATTGCAGTAAACTTGGTTTTTAAGTCAAAGCAAAAAAGAAACCGGGGAGTTTGACATCACACCTAAAAATGACCTGCCATCGCCGTGGAGGTCCCGGTGTTCGTTTTGCAATGAATTAGATCCCGCCATCTCCTGAAGCTTCTAATAAAAGCAACCCGCATGGAGAGACACACAAGGAAAAGTGTAGGATGAACTTTCATGTATTCCAGAGGGCATTATTATTTTCAGTGGTTTCTGTTAGACAAAGATTTTGTACTGGTCAGAGAAAGCTTCACTGATGTGGACAGCTCCACCAATACCATGGGACCCCTAGGCTGACATACAGCGAGATGGCTTGTCAATACCTGGAATCCTTCGGGGGCGGGAACATAAACCCCAAGTCTTTAAAATAAAACCATGGACCACATGAACCACAGCATACACGCCCCAGAGACCAGAACTAGATGGTTCCCAGCTATCACTACCGACTGCTCTGACTGGGACCACAACAGAGGGTCCTGGACAGAGTGGGAGAAAAATGTAGAACAAAAAAATTCACAAAGACCAGACTTAACTGGTCTGACAGAGACTGGAGGAACCCCTGAGACTATGGCCCTAAGACACCCTTCTGACCTGGGACTGAAGCCATTTCTGGAGACCACTTTTCAGCCAAACAATAGGCCCGTAAAATAACACGCACTCGAGAGGAGCATGTTCCTTAGAACAATCAATTACAGGAGATCAAAAAGACATTTTCCCAAAAGCAAAGATGAGAAGGCAGGAAGAAGTGGAAAATCCGGGTAAAACGGGGAACCAGGGGCAGAAAGGGGGAGAGTGCTGATACATGATGGGAAATGCAACCAATGTCATGGACCACTTGATGTACAAACTATCGAATGGGAAACTTAAACTCTGCAAGCTTTCACCTGGAAAATGAAAAGCCAAACCCGCTGCCGTCGAGTGGGTTCCGACTCGGTATCGACCCCGGAGAACAGAGTAGAACTGCCCCACAGGGTTTCCAAGGAGCGGCTGGTGGCTGCAGACTGCTGACCTCTTGGTGAGCAGCCAAGCTCCTAACCCCTGCGCACCAGGGCTCCAATCTTTAACCTAAAGCACAATAAGATTTAAAAAATGAAAGTAAGCAAAACCGGTTGGCATTGATTCAATTCTGACCCATGACGGCCCCATGTACAGAGGTATTCCATAGGGTTTTCTTGGCTATAATCTTTACGGAAGCACATCACTAGGCCTTTCTTCCCCGGTGCCACTGGGTAGGTTCAAACTGCCAGTCTGAATGTTAGCAGTTAAGTGCAAGCTGTTTGCTTCACCCAAGGACCTAACTTTTCTACACTGCTTGTTGTTTTCTACTAAAGAATATCCACCTCCATCCTAGAAAGGTGGTTAAAACAAACCATTGCCGTCGAGTCGATTCTGACTCACAGTGACCCCATAGGACAGGGTAGAACTGCCCCATAGGGTTTCCGAGGAGCAGCTCGTGGATTTGAACTGCCAACCTTTGTTGGTTAGCAGTTGAGCTCTTAACCTCTGTGCCACCAGGGCTCCAGAGAGAATACGGCAAGAAAAAGTTACTGGATCAGAAAGCATAGCTTGTATTGGGTCTAAAACTAATAATTGCTAGAAGGTATTAAAAAAAAAAAAAAAAAAAAAAAACCCAAACCCAGTTGCCGTCAAGTTGATTCCAACTCATAGTAACCCCATAGGACAGAGTAGAACTGCCCCATATGGTTTCCAAGGAGTGGCTGGTAGATTAGAACTGCTGACCTTTTGGTTAGCCAGATGCTTAACCACTGTGCCACCAGGTATAGCTGGTTTTAATTATCGAAACACACATGGAACAGTTTTATCTATGGAACTCCACATTTGAGTAAATACACAGTGAACTGTGGTCAGAAAGAATGAGTGACATGAAGGGAAGTTCGGAAAGCTCATTCTTCCCTTACTGCTTTAGCTCCTAAATTCAAGGCCGAGGATTACTTTTTTCACTTCATAGAGCTAACTGAAGGGAAAAATAGAAAAGCATATAATTTAACCTAAATAATACGAACTTGACAAATGCAGCTGGGTATCACACCAATTTACATTTCTTGAGTGTTTTTTCATGTCATCCTACTGGGCCCAAAGGTGATGGAAGTAGGGTGCACTGTGAGCTGTGTCCACGCGGGCTGCTGCTCTGAGAACGTGGTACTAGAGCCAGAAGGAGCCTTCTCGCTGGGCTTCTCAGCAGGGGGACAGGAAGGCCTGCAGATGGCCTGCGCCGGAAGCCTTCCCCACGCCTGTCGGTGGCAATGACTACCAGGTTCTTACAGTTAGAAGCTGTTCGTGGCATCATAGTAATGGAAGTAACCTAGAGAAATGCTAGGGGAGAAAGCTGTTAGACTATATTAGAAAAGGAGTATTGTGGCACCATATCATATACCACTGGCTTCAAAAATCAGGTAGGACACTAGAAAGCATCCCATCAGAACTCGTGTGCTGTGTCATCAGTGTTACTAATATTGATGAATGCCAGCACCATGTCAAGTTTTTGAGGGCTTAGCTGCTCACTGAAAGGTTGGTGGTCCAAACCTACCCAGCAGCTCCTTGGGGGAAAGACATGACAATTCGCTGTCGTACAGATTAGAAAACCCTATGGAGCAGTTCTCTGTCAACACGGGGTGGCTATGAGTCGAAAATCGACTCCATGGTACCTAACAGCAACTGGATGCATGGTGTTAGATACTACTATCAGTGTGCAGTTCAATAAAGACATAGCTTCCGGTTAATGAAAATAATCATTTCTCTACATCAAAATGCATTAAAACCAAACTGTTGTGCATCAAATGTAATGTACCCAAACATGGTAAATCCATCTAATAGAATAATTAATCCTCGTGCATTGGCTGCTTCAGATCAGAAACAAAAGGGAATCCGCACACCTTGAATATCCAGATCCTTTCAGAAATTCTCGTTTGGTGGCTTGTTTGGGAGCTTCCATCATTGTTGCTGTTGTTACTGGTAGATTCCAAACCAGTAGCCTGAGTGCACAGCAAAAACAGGAAATTTTAGTTGAAGATGTCTTTTATGTTACAAATAGTTCTTAGGCTCTTTTAAAGCAAAATTTACAAATGTTTTACTACCACCCATCTTTAAAAGATGCTCTTCAACAGTTACAAGAAATTTAAAGGCAAAATACTTGTGAAAGGCCACAAATGAAAACCGTAGAGGTGAGCGTGTGCCGTGCGGTCATTATTCTCAGAGCAACTGAGGCTTGTTTTCCACAGTTGCACATGGACACCGAAAACACGTAAGTGTCCAAACGCTTGGTAATGAAACGCAAACCAGTAACACATACGATCCCCTTTGGTGTTCACGTGCTTTGTCAACAGGGACCTAAAAGCTTTGTGTTGATTGTCAAGATAAAGATTTCATTTCTACCTTTATGTTGTAATAGACCATCCTGAACTGGAATCCATCTATCTATAGAGATGAGAAGAAGTCAGCATCGTCAGGGAGGGTTCTTGCTCGTACCAGTTATTTTAATATGGGTCTTTTATCATAGGGAACGTGTCACAAACAGAGAGGTGTTTTTAGCATTTAATGTGCTGGCGATAATAGTGAAGTGTGTGTGTTTAAACTAGTTTTTCATGGTTTCTCTAGTCCCACTCTTTGAAACA